AGACTATAATCCGAGAGGCTGTTCTTGAAACAGTTTCAGACCCTGAACCAGCAATCAAAGATGTCTCCTAAGCTCGAGCCGTCAACAAGGTAAACATCTGAATATGAATGAATTCATTCTCCTGTTATTTAATCAATGTAAAACTGGGACATTTAACAAAGCATATTGGTTGCTTCATGTTACATATGAAAATAAAACTAATTAGAATACAATTAAGAACTTGAAGCTATATTCGAAATGGAGACCATTTTGTGGAATAACTGTTTCTTTTATCCCTTAACCAGCGTGTAGGGTTAAAAAATTATTTGTGGCATGGAGATATTTTGACAAATTCTACTGAAAACAGACATTTAACTTGTATTCATGTCATTGATCTCACAATTAAAAAAAAAACTTATTGTTAATCAGCTGTTGAGAAGGCATTGATATGAATCACATTATATCTGCTTTATAATAAAGGTAGGTGCATGACAGAGTAAATATATAGGTAGCGTTTCAGCAATTTAAACCTGGCAAATGCATTTCATTTATTTTCTCTCAAAACTTTTGACAGCTCATCAACACGTTTACAACCCATTATGGTATAAATCACTTTGTGACTTGCAGAGGCAGAATACTATTATGCTTAAATGGAATGGATAGGTGATCAACTAATACACACTAAGGTAAAGAATAAATGTCTATCTCATGTTTATATATTTTTTTAATGTGAGCAGTAGCTGTCTATCTTGACGAATTCAGACACGAATGGCCTCAAAATGGGAAAGTTACTGCAATCAAGGAGGAGTACATCACTGTTCACTGGTACTCGGGTACAGCAACATCAACATGGGTTTCACCATACAAAGGGGAAAGAGAGCAGGAACCGTACATCCAAACCATCCTATCCACAAGCATGATCAACCATCCATTTAATCTTACAGGAACATCCAAGCTACCCCAGGAGATACAGCGCCAACTCAAAGGCAAGCAAGAACAGTACTTACATAAGTGATTCAAAGATGGAGTATCACAATGTCCGAGCTTGAGGAAGAAGTTTTACTGAATTCAGACATCAAAGTTGATGAGCACAGCTCCACAACTAGTGACAGTGGTAGTGATAGTGAGATGATGATGTAGGAGAGATATAAGAAAGAGGACAAGTCGTAGAAGATGGCGTCGATGGTGCAGGTCAAGTCATAGCATATCAGCACAAGTCCAAGCCCCCGGCACGGCCAAAAGCCGAATTCGGTTTGCCTGTAGACGATGGAGATGCTGGTTTGACGGGTGCGGGAAACTTGGATGGATTTCAGTTTTACATTATTTTAGTAAAACAGTTCTATGCATATTCTCATGAATATTCAATGAGCAAGCTGATGATGTCATGTCTCCCCTAATTCTATTTCCAAGAACATAAAAACAGGAATTACTCTTTGTGGAATGTTTAGGATCATAATTGCTTTGTACTTATTCAATATAAGGGACAGATATTATATACACAATTTGTGAAAAAATGAAATGAATAGGAATTCATATAATAAAATACAAAAGAAATAGGGGAGACGTGACATCATCATCTTGCTTATTGAATATTCATGAGACTATGCCAAGAACTGTTTAACCGAAATGATTAAAAACTCTAACAAATCATAACTTTGTTATTTTTCATCCAATTTTGATGAAATTTTTAGTGTTGTTCTTGTTAAATTTTACTCTACTTTACGTAACATCCCAATTCAGCCTGGAGTACCACTTTAAGTGCTAACTTAACCCTAATAGCACCTGGGGGGCCATAATGGCCATAATGGCCCCCCCCCCCCTCGAGATTGTTCGCGACCATTCCGCCGCGCAAATTTTTTTGACCGCGCTACTCGCTGACTTTTTACTTTCAAGTCTTGTGCATCTTTTGACACCATTTTTGCGAAAATCAGGAATACCATTATGACGCTGCACGGCCTTTTATACAGGCTCGTCCGAACGAAAATGGCTCAAAAACGTGATTTTGTGTACAAACTCAATGCAAATTGAGTTTTCTCACCTTATTCATAAAGATATGATTATTTTCACTTTCTTTGGCTGAAATTAATTTATTATAGCACAATTATGCTTCAAAATAGTTCTATGATAAATTTTGCGAAAAAAAACCAACAAAAACAAAGGTGGTAGCAAGGTCTGAAATACCCCTGTGCTATTAGGGTTAAGAGAGTTTTCTGAATACCACCCCTGCTGATATACACAACGAATCACCAGCATAAAGAATTTTGTTAGCATTTTTGGCCTGGACATTGTCAATCTCTAGGTGTGCATCAACATACGCTACTTGTATGAGTACAGTAGACCACTGCCTTTGTTGTCGAGTGCTGCGCTGCAATTGAATTTATATGCTAGAAGGATGCTAGATGATGTTTTAACCCTAATAGCACCTGGGGGAGGGGGGGGCATAATGTACCAATTCATCAAAATTGAAAATTAACATGTTGAACTCAAAATGAATTCAAAAAGCTTGAACATTTTTCAAAAATTCTTTTCTTGCTTGATATTTTTCTAATGTCTGTGATGTTTTTCCAGATATGGAGTGTGACCCTGAGCCACTTCGCAGAAGCCCGAGAAAGGCAGATAAGTCGAAGACTAAGGAACTTCCTCTCCCCAAATTGTCAACAACATCCATGATGGCCAGATTTGTCCCCTTAAGCCCGAGGGGCCCAATCCAGAGGGGATCATCTCCATCTACAACCACATTCCCCTCTCCTTCGACTTCTCGCCAAAGCCAGCCGCCGACACCAAAAGCTAGAACCTTGGACAGTAAGTATTTACGTAGAGAATTTCACAAACAAAATATCTCTTCTCAAGAACTTAATAGTATGTTTCATAGGAGGTCAATTGATTAGATTTTGGAGTACAGCATATTTAAACTACAAACAAAATTTACTATTTTTTACCAAGATGCTACACTGATATAAGAGAGAGAGGTTGTCAATATAAATACAACATCAAAAGTAAGTTCCCCCCTAAAGAGCCCCATCAAACCTTCCAGTGGAAAAATCAAGAAAAAAAGCGTAATTTTTTGTTCATGTTGCGCTCATTCAGCCGTTAAGTCACGGATGTCACTAATTTTCGAGAATCCTAGCTATATCCAATGCTTGGTTTCAACTTGAATAATTTGTTATACTGGAAGATTTGATGGGGTTCTTTAGGGGGAAACTTTCTTTTGATGTGTTTAATTTCGATTTATTTTTATCAAAAAAGCAGGGGTATATTTTTCTGCAAAATCGCTTTCAGATTCTTTCTGTATGTGTTGCATTGTCTGATGCTTTGTACAAGTATTGTCATTGCAGCTTGGTTCAAATTTCAAATTCAACATACTTGAACAGTTACCCTGCCTTGCTGTGATCCCAGGCTTTTGCTTAATTACTACTATTCATGCTTTAGTAATAGATTACCTTGGCTTTCAAGGGTGGCTTGGGTCAGTGCAGCAGAGAAGACTAAAAAAGTGAATAACTGGAATTGCGTTTTCTACCTTTTAACTCTTATCACAATTTCAGGCATAGCAAAAAGGGCCAAGGTTGGAGTGAGATTATTCCGGGAATGAAGGATCACCTCCCAAACGTATGTGGTCTTCTGGATCTTCTTCTTGCCATTCCAGCCACTTCAGCAGACGCTGAAAGAGGATTCAGCCGGCTGAACCTCCTTAAGACCAACCTCCAGACAGCACTTCTAGATGATCGTGTAACAGACCAGTTGCTTGTGATGCTTCACGCACAGGACATTGCAACATTCAACCCAGAACCCTGCATCAGTCTTTGGCTGTCTGGGGGTACCAGATCAAGACGCCCAGACAAAAACCCTCATCATGATGCAGAAAGGGAACTTCAAGTGATGCATGAGCAGCCTGAAGATTCTTCAGCCTCGGATACAGACAGTGAGCCTGAGCTCATGGAACTAGATTCCCAGTGAATCGAGGGCTTACACCATAATTTAATGTGACCAAAACTGCATTAAAAGAAACCAAAAAACACACCCAGTAATTAGTGCACCATGATCATAAGCTCTAACCTATTTATGTAGTTTGATTTTATTCAAAATTAAAAGGCTCGTTACTTAGTAAATAAAAGCAATTGAATATTTTCAATACAACTGTGACATGCCTACTACTAGATTTGAAGTTCCTTTTATCCAAGTGTGACCTCTTCAATAAGACTTGACTGAGGAATGAAATATAAACCTTTTAGTTTAAGTTCAGCTTGTTTTGACTCTTATCAATTTAAATAGGAGTGTTACTACTAAGTGACTGAATATTTGAAATAAGATTTTATAGACACTTTTTGGTCAGAATCTAACTTTGAATTAAGGCTGATACTGTTCTGCTGAGACCAGCTAGTATGTCTGCCTCTTGGTCTACATGTTGCATTAAAAAAAAAAGAACAAGACTTTTCTTATAACTTTGATGTGATTTGGACTTATTATTGCACCAAAAGTTTCCAAATGTGTAATTCTTGATGAGGTGAAGATGCTGCTAAGTTTTTTTTAATTTAATAAATTCATTGAGTGAGAATTTATTATTTTGAAATAGGTTGAGCAAAGATGAATGTCCATTTGAGTGGAAACTGAAAAATGCGTTGAAACAGATTGAGCAAGGATGAAATGATCATATTTTGGGAAGATTCTGAAAGAAAAGTTATGTTCCTCGTGGTTAAACATCTTTTCCAAAGTTGTTTTTGTCAGTTACTTTCCTCTCTGAATATGATATTATCGTTTGCTCAATCTGTTGAGCAATAATGAAGATTGCATGGATGATTGACTGAACATATTGAAACAGACGGAGCGAGGAAGAGTGACTATATCTCATTCTGATAAAACCTAAAGTCCAATGTTAGACTGTTACTGTAGCCAAAGGGCTTCATAATAGTCGTAAGATTAATTCTTCAGTACAGTCAGTTAATCCTCATGGTCACATTTACACTTAATAATACACCCCTCCCTGGTCCCGGCGCTGATGATTATAAAAAAAGGTATCGTGACGGTGTGTTTTAATTTTTTAATAGTTAATGACCATTATTATGACCACAAAAAAACGTGATAAACTTGGGCTCCCTGAAACCCTTGCGGGCTCCCTGAAAAAGTGCTTGAGGAGCCCAGCTGGCTCCCTAAAAAAAAAGTAAAGGTCAGGCCCTGGAGTAGGGGAAGGAAGACCAGTGCATGGAGTCAAAGGCTCTAGCGTGCTTGTGCTTTTGCCAGAGTTGAACATAACTTGTGGCTGTTGTTGACTACCTGCATTGTGTTCTTCTAAGAGTTGTTAGACAGTTTGTAACCTTGTGGTTTGATAGTAGCAACCACTTGCATGCTTGGTTTATTGATAGGATACATGGTGTTGATGCACAACTTTTAAGCATTTGTCCCTGAGTGAGATTACAACAGCTCCTCGCAAGCCTTCACACAAGGAAATACTGGAAGGCCTCAGAGTGGAGATCTTTTATGTTGTACTACTTCTGCACACACATATACAGAGGGGTGGTTGCTATATTAGCCACGTCATCTATCAGTATTATCATCAATAAAATACCATCCTGAACTTTATATCATTTATTTGTCTTGAGTCACCTGTACGTCTAGTTAACACTCGCCCTATTAGCCACGCTATGAGGATTTACCAATATCTATTTTTACAGAGTGTTACACTGGTGGCAGTGGTGGGATCGCTGAAAGCCTTCACACTGACCAAGGACGTCAGTTTGAGGCCCAGGTTGTCCAGACCCTTTGACAGAAAATGGGGATTAAGAAGACAAGAACTACCCCATACCATCCCCAATCGTACGGGATCCCTGAAAGCCTTCACATTGACCAAGGATGTCAGTTTGAGGCCCAGGTTGTCCAGACCCTTTGCCAGAAAATAGGGATTAAGAAGACCAGAACTACCCCATACCATCCCCAATCAGACGGGATCCCTGAAACCCTTCACACTGACCAAGAACGTCAGTTTGAGGCCCAGGTTGTCCAGACCCTTTGCCAGAAAATAGGGATAAAGAAGACCAGAACTACCCCATACCATCCCCAATCGGACGGGATCCCTGAAACCCTTCACACTGACCAAGGACGTCAGTTTGAGGCCCAGGTTGTCCAGACCCTTTGACAGAAAATGGGGATTAAGAAGACAAGAACTACCCCATACCATCCCCAATCGTACGGGATCCCTGAAAGCCTTCACATTGACCAAGGACGTCAGTTTGAGGCCCAGGCTGTCCAGACCCTTTGACAGAAAATGGGGATTAAGAAGACCAGAACTACCCCATACCATGGACGCTTCAATTGCGTGTTTTTCCCTCAATAGATATGGAAATACATGTTTCCTGGATGCAACATATAAAACCACAAAGTATACCCTGCCAATATTTTTCTTGGCTGTGTAGACTAATGTGGGCTGTTCTGTCGTTGGAGAGTTTATAGTTGATAAGAGAATCAAAGACAGCCATACGGCGAGGGCTTCAGACAATAAAGGATTGGATGATTACAGATGGTGTTCCGTGGACTCATTATAACAGGTGCATTGATGGAGCCTCATGATAGAGAGTAAAAATCATGACTATTTAAAGTGCGTTACATTCATTATTGTGTTGTATTTCATACTTGTATACGGTTAGAAAAAGGATTGCATTGTCCTAAAAAAAGCACCTAAAATTCAAACAAATGAGCTTCAATGTTGACCTTAGAATAGTTATTCTGCATCTAGAAGGTATATTTGATCATTTTAATATCTTTATTTAGTTATTTTAGAGCATTTTAGGATGTTCTGGTCTTCTGGAAGATTATACTATTACTAATCTCGATGTGTTGGTAGACTACCACAAGTATACAGTTTTGTAACTAAATCGTGGAAGTCTATCTTTTTATGTCTTTAATAATTTGAACTTTGTGTGTGTGTGTGTGTGTGCAACATCTTATATGTACTCGTTGGTAATATGTAGGTGGTCTATATATCTTTTTGCAGGTGTACCTGTGGTCCTTGTCAAGTAGAACCCAGTTCATGTAGATCTTCCAGCTCATCGTCGAAGTGGCCCTTCCGATCCAACGAGCCATGTGGAATGACGCATACAATTTAGAAGAGGAGCCACAAGAGCCAGGAGAGGAAAATCGATCAATGCACCATGCAGCATACAGATGTTTTATCTTCTGGCAATATGGACGCCTAGGGCAAGGTAACAGACGGGTTATCCCAAGCTGTTGTGGGTCACAGATCCAAGGGATGTACCCTAGTGCCACAGGTATATAACTTTTGTGATGTTATAATTTTTCAAGTGGAGAGAACAAAAGAGACATTATCATTATTGCATGCAGTGGTAGGTATCGAGTCGTATGTGTTGAAGAGGTGCTGCTTAGCTAGTCCAGGGTAAAGGTCCTGGATTTAAGACAGCGAATCATTCTCGCTTCAGGGCAGGCTTCGCATGGGCTGAAATATGACCCTGGTGCAGGACATGTTCCTGCATGCAGTGATAACAGGACTAACGAATGACAACATCCGACATGACCTTAAGACTTCTCTACAATCTGCAATTCCTGATGAGATACTCCAGGAAAAACTAAATGTAGCTGTGTCGTTCGAAGAAAAGCACCTCCAGAAGTCCCACGCAAAATCCACGACACAAGTAGCTTCAGTTGCGGAAAAACATGACAGGCAGACTCTGACAACGCTGCTATTCAACCATTCATCTTTTAAAACTTTATTTATTTTCTCATTAATTGTAGGTATCTTTTGACATCTTTCGTCAAAAAAGTGGATTCAAATCACATTGTGGCCACATTATAATAACGTGAGACCATGAAGAAAATGCTATTTTCTCTCAACCTTCTGGATGTTCCCTTAGGATCAGCAGCCTTGTGACACAGCTGAAGCCATATCGGTAATCGTGTACATGTACTTGTATTTCAACCATTCATTTTTTTAAACTTTATTTATTTTCTCATTAATTGTAGGTATCTTTTGACATCTTTCGTCAAAAAAGTGGATTCAAATCACATTGTGGCCACATTATAATAACGTGAGACCATGAAGAAAATGCTATTTTCTCTCAACCTTCTGGATGTTACCTTAGGATCAGTAGCCTTGTGACACAGCTGAAGCCATATCAGTAATCGTGTACATGTACTTGTATTATTTCTGTACATATATTTTTCATATTGTGCATGATCACTGATTAATTAGACATTAAAGAATTGATCATTTCATTCGTAAGGCTTATTTTTCCTAAGTTTCAAATATATATAATTCAATTAATTTCAGATCACTTAAATCTGCAGGTATCTTGCAATAACTGACTGTATTTAGCTAGTTTCAAACAGCATTCATTCTACCGGTACTCTCATTAGCAAGCTAAAATTTTATTGAAAATTATCAACATATTTACAACATATAGAACTACAAAGTATGCCCTGCCAATATTTTTCTTGGCTGTAAGGACTAATGTGGGCTATTCTGTCGTCAGAGAGTTTATTGTCGACACTGAATCAAAGGCAGCCATACGGCAAGGGCTACAAACTATCAAGGATTGGATGATTAAAGATGGTGTTCCATGGACTCCGTATGCCCTGCCAATATTTTTCTTGGCTATAAAGACTAATGTGGGCTATTCTGTCGTCAGAGAGTTTATTGTCGACACAGAATCAAAGGCAGCCATACGGCGAGGGCTTCAGACAATAAAGGATTGGATGACTGCAGATGGTTTTCTGTGGACTAAGTGGTTCGTTTCCTTACAGATTTCTGTGAGCGAGAGATTTAACAATGTCTTTGCCATTGAAGATGTATATGTTGCTATCACCTTGCATGCGAAACAAAGATGTACTGTAAATCTACGCTGGCTGATTTCCGCCAATTTTTTTTTTTTTTACGGGGTTATAACACCCTATTATGGCATTATTACGCCCTTATGCGGCTATGATTATGGGGTTAAAACGCCCTATTACAGCATTATATTCCCTATTAAGGTTCTACTGTGTTATACGGCGTTCCATAGGTTCGATCATTAGACGCTGGCCGAAGGATGAACAGGTCTGTTCCGGATCAAGCTCTTCTGAATTCATGTAATTACGGTTCAAGTCTTTTATTTCTGTTCATATACATGTAGGTCTAGGGGAATATTTCCAAAATGAGATCTACACTCACTCGAGGTTTTTTAGGTCTACAGGATGGATTCATTGGAGTCAGTGAGCGATCAGATGCAGAATGAACCAGTTGCAATAGATGTAACGGATCATGCTGCGAAAGAAGAAAGCGTGAAGCAAGAGGGCCCTGATCCTTTCCAGGATGCAGCGGTTCTCCTGGTTCACGAAGTACTGGGGTCGTGATGACGGACCTGCCAATGGAAGGACCGCCGTCACTGGAGGAACCCGCGGATCTGCCACCAGCAGAACCTGCAGTTCCTCGCTTCATGTCTGTAGGGACACAAACCGGTAGGTACTTCAGTACTTTGACCCCAATACTCCTTGGTGGGAGCCGGGTATGGTTGAGAGCCAACGCTTTCATCACGGCCCGGCTCAACTGTCACCCCTCTGGGGGAAGGCTTCTATGTTGCCCAGGGAATACAGTTCCCAGGGTCAGGGGTAGAGAATCTAACGGCGGATCAGGGCACTATATGCCTGGAACCTGCTGTGGTTGTTCCCCCCGGCATCCAGACGGATCTGGGGGCGCGCGAGGAGGAAACCATAGACACCAGGGATTCTTCTCCTGGTGCTGGGTTACCCTCTTCAGCTGTCCCGGGGCATCTCTGGGAGGCGCAAGAGCACAAGGTTCCCGAGGCGGGGAGCAGTCTTCCGGGAATAACCTCTCGGGAGGAAGGGTCTCCCTGTCAGGACGCTGGTGCAGTAGAGCGCCAGCCGAGCCAGAATGCTAGGAACCAGTCTGGCCAAGGGAAGCAGCCATTGAGCGGGTCGGTCAGTGGACCTGCTAAAAAACATAAGGGGCGGGGGGCATGTGTTATGTGCGGGACACGCCCTAGTGTCAAGCTCAGGCAGTAAGTGTACGGGCATATGCCGGTAGCGTTGCGCCTCTGCCAAGGCAAGCACTTTCCCGGGGAACCCCGGGTACTTCAGCAGGTAGCTTGCCTTAGGTTTCTGGCACAAACTCTCATAGGGTCTCCCCACCTGGAGGGGCTGATGGGTTATTTTTTCCCTTCATTATAAAGATAGAGAGAGATCGAGGGGGGGGGGGTGAGTTGTTCCACAACCTGAATAGCTTAGCTGTAGAACTGAAATTCCCATTCATGTCGTTTGCAATTTTAATCAATTACAGGGTTTATGAACTGACATACTCACGATTAAGGTAAAAGATTTCAGTATTTGCGTATGTTTGTAATAACTATTTATCAAACTACACCCTAAAACCTGTGACAAGTTATATAAGTTAGTAGAGAAAAATTGAGTGAGATAAATGCAATACAAATTGATTCCATCCTTAATGCGTGAACCGTCAACAACAACAAATCTTAAATGGGGAGTTTTGTTTTATGTGTAAAGTGAACGGCAACGAAGACTCTTAGGTGTAGTGATAGAATGAGCATGATTGCTTTGACTGTGTATCTATGTATCCTGTGATATGTTGTTGATGCTTGTGATATGATTGCATTGTTTGTATATGTGGGAGACATCCTGAGCGTATCCGCGCTTCACCTGTCTGGGAACAACTCCGACAAGGTGCACAGACTAGCGACATTTGCCAGGATGAATTCCATGTCAAAATCGACTTTTCAGCAGCAGCAGGCTAATTACATAATCCCAGCAATCATCGAGAGCCATTGGGAAAGAGTCCAAAAAGAAACTTGTCAGAAACACCAGGCTTACCCTGTCGTCGTGTGTGGTAAGTGAGCTTAATTATCAATTGCATGAAGGCAAATCACATTCTAATGAGAAACAAAGAAAAGCATTGCAATCAGTTTATATTTATTTCTCCAACCAGGTAATGTAATTAAGCAACTTAGTGCAGACTCTTATGTGTAGTGATAGAATGAGTGTGATTACTTTGACTGTGTATGATTGAATTGTTTGTATATGTGATGAACTTGGCGTGTGTAATGACTGTGTGAACGATTATATTGTATATATCTTGTAGGTATTTGTCAGATTCACTCCTGCACTGCACCCTCATCCATGGGGCAGGCAGGGAGGTCGACTCTGCAAGCTTTTGGTGTTACTTTGTACATTAATAGGTATTGACAATCAAGATGTAAGAAGCGGGTACAATGAGAGGAAACAGTCCTCTAGGCCAGATTGCCAGCTAGGGTTTATTTTGCACCTGAAATAAAACGAACCGCAACACAAAGAATGGTGTGATGAGTCTTTTCTACCAGTTTCCGTGTGTGATCTGCGTGTTACAATATGAACAATCGTTATACTACAATCGTGAACTATCGAAACTCGCCAAGAGCTGGTCCTGCAGAATTTTTAGTGCTTCTGATTTGTTTGTCAGGGATGACTATTTATATGCTTTTGATGGCTTACATCTAAATTTTTGTGGTAAATTTGAATTGGCACAAAGATTATATACATTCTTTGATTTGGCGTCAAACCTGTCCCCTATTTTCCCGAAGTGCACCCTCAGGGATCCCACGAGAGTTGACAAAACTTTTCACCGTTAAAGGACCCAAGAAGTATTACCCTGGACTGAAACTAATTTAGATTTGGTGGCTTATAAAAAAAGAGAAAAATACGGAAAGCCTTACCCCGCAACACTCAAGAAACGCAAAGCGGAGCCATCTCAAGAAAGGAAATCACAATGTAAACCCATCTGCATCACATACATCCCGTATGTCGAGATACAAAGGCTTCGACATGCATCCTACTCTGATGTTGCCCTCCCCAAAGCCACGTTGTGCTACGTTGCTTATAGACAAAAGGCTTCAGGTGACCGTCTCTTTCCAGATACACCCATCATTCCAACGGATCACCCCTAAGACTACAAGACATCCAAGACGACAAAAATACAGAGTCTTCACAAAAAGTGGAATGGCAGATGGCAGTCCAAGGGAGAAAAACACAGAGCTGGCAAAGGAGAACTATGAATTAAACAAGGCCAATATAGAGCTTTAAGGGACATGGATCTTTCACTTACAGAAATCATGACAAGCTCATTATGTATCACTGGACAGTGTTACAGGATCACGTTTGGTGAAATATCAACGAAAGCGTCACTTGAGGACATTACAAAACGCGCCACGAAAATCAGCAGGTCAGCACAAAAGGTGGAATGGCAGATGGCAGTCCTTAGGGGGGAAAACACAGAGCTGGCAAAGCTGAACTATGAACTAAACGAGGCCATTAGAAAAGGAGGGCTGGAAGAAACGAAGGAGAATCTGACAGCATCTCAAAGAAGGTTTCTAAGCTGTTCTGAGTTGGGAGAGGATGGCTCTTCGGCTATTTTCTGGAAAGGTGCCCATGAAGCAAGGGAAGTGGACTGGGAGACATTTCACGACGTTGCTAAGGAGATGGCTGCCATGACTGGTATCAATGAACAGTCGGAGCATCGTGAAATCATCGCCTGCCTGGTTCTAGTTGTTTAAAGTAGTGGAAAGAATGTTGCATGGTAAGATCGGTGGAAAAATTGTTCGGGAAATGGTAATGCTATGATTTTTATCGGAGTCTGCAGTGAGCTTGTATATTAATAATTTGTAATTATTGTACACTTATCGAATCATGCATGTGATTTTACTTGTTTATAGACTATATCGCAAGATGTTCAAGGAACAATAAGGGGAATCCTCAGGAGAAGGGATGCTTGCCAATTTACGTGAGTTCGTCGAGAAGTACAATGGTGAAGCAGGTGCCACATAAATCGGCGGGTCAGCACAAAAAGTGGAGTGGTAGATGTTGCAGTTAAAGATGTAGATGACAGTATCCGCGGGATGACCCTTCAAGAGTTTCTCTTCTTCTTCACTGGTGCAAGTCAGATCCCACTTGCAGGGTTCGGCACCAAACCAAGTTTGAAATTTATGGATCAGAAGCTGCCACGGGCCTCTACATGCTCTTTTGAGTTGTATATCTGCCGCGAACATGTTCAAGTGAGCAGGGATTTGTTAGCATGCTCGTAGATGCCATCCGAAATACTCATGGATTTGGGCTTGCGTAGGATAATCTTGAGATGTCTATCCGCATCTGCCAATCTAGATAGGAAGTGCCTTATTTCTTTCTCAAGTTTGGTCTGATCTACTTCTCCCTCAAAATTTGGTACAAAGTCATTTTGCAACAAAATTAATTCGGTAAAAATCCAAAATTGATAAGTGTAATAAGAGAGGCTGAGGCGACAAGAGATGCCAAAATTGCCCAATATAAAACGAACCCCAACCCCAAGCAACCGGCAAGAAGCTATAGTCAACAGCTAGATACCTTTAGTCTATATGGGCAATCTAGCCCATTTTCCCCTGAACCAAAGAAAGGGAATTATACAGGTAATAATAAGAATAGGTCAAAAAAGTCCCATTCCCCTGACCCTGGCCGTCCCAAACCCACCGATAAATGTCCAGTTAGAGTACTGGTGTGTTACAAGTGCGGTGAGTTCGACCATTATGAGAAGGAGTGTAAAAACCCACCGAATGAGGAGAAAAAGAATAGGAACCTTGCCCGAAGGAAAGAAATAATAGAGGCCTGGGAGGCAATGAACTAAGAAAGAGCCCTAGATAATCCTCAAAACTAGTAAGGACACCCGTCTTGGGCACGAGATAAGTGGTGAGGGGATTCACCCATTCCCATCAAAGATCAAGGATGTCCTGGAATGTCAAAGACCAAACAATGTCCATCAGCATGGAGGAGCGAATGACATTCAATCACACGTCAAGTCCATGAAGCATCGCTCCGCTGCAGAAGCCAGTGGAATTTGCAACATCACTAAGTGGTTGGGATTTTGCGGTTATTACCTACCGCAGGCTTTGCAGACCACTGAATGATCTGCTGGTAGGATTGTCAATGCCTAGGAAATCTTCCAGTACACCAGCTGACCGCTCCAAGGTAAGTAGAGCACAGCTTGAGCCCTTTCACCAAAAGCAGACAGAGAGGTGTGAGGATGGTTTCCTGGCATTGAAGAAGATGCTCACAACTGCACCAGCTCTAGGTTTTGCTGATTTTTCAAAACCCCAACCCATATCATCGAGCAGGTTGCAACGAAAAAACCTCCACTCCTTTCATCCAAAATTGTAGCCGATATCACTAAATCTCATTTCTGGTTTATGTAAATGATGTCTAACCCAACTCACTAAATCACTAAGTGATCATTCTCGTACTTGTAGGATTTTGTTTAAATCATGTTGAAATTTTGAATTGTCTGAAGTTGTCAGAGGCGACATCATCAAGTAGGGAAGATAAAAAATTACGAAAAATCTAATACGACTATCAATGGTCATCTATTTATGTAAGTAGCAGAAATCTACTCCAATCCAATCCAATCCAATCCTCAAATTTCTACAGCACCCTTATGTGGTTGCTTAACCGAAGAAGTTGCCAGGACTTCAATATATTTTATAAACTGTTTTGATTCATTAAGAGAGGCTGTTATATTTTTAGATCATCACTGCACATATCGGGGTAAAATGTGAGTACTCCAGATTATACGATAAGTGTGTGTTCGCAACTTGGTCCTCCCCTCACTTGGAGTTGATGGGTGTTAAACATTTTCATTCACTTACTGCAATGTGGTATCCTAACTATCATGGTCATTAATTAATTGGGATGACTGATATTGACATTCTCGAGCACCTCATAAATTACTTAGGAAGAACATCGATTCAACTAGCCTTATATCAAGACTATGATGACTGATGTTGACACTCTCGAGCACCTCATAAATTACTTGGGATAAACACCAATTCAAAAGCCTTAAAACACGGCTATAATGACAGATATTGACAATTTTTATGAAAAATCCTTATATCAAGGATATAACGACTGATATTGACACTCTTGAGCACCTTATAAATTACTAGGGATGAACATCAATTCAACAAGCCTTATAACAAGGCTATAACGACTGATATTGATATTCTTGAGCGCCTCACAACTACCTGAGATAAACATTGATTCAACTAGCCTTATATCAAGGATATAACAACTGATATTGACATTTTCGAGCACCTCATATATTACTTGGGAAGAACATCGATTCAACTAGCCTTATATCAAGGCTATAATGACCGATGTTGACATTCTCGTGCACCTCATAAATTTGTTGGGATAAACATCAATTCAACAAGCATAGTACTTGCATTGCACATTAACTTTCTCTAGACCGGTTCACATTTTTTCATAGCTTACAACCTGTTCACATCCTGAGCATTTTTTGCTGTACATGTCCGTCTCCTCATCAAACGTTTCTTCGCCGTACGTGTGCTGATGAACGCTCAGGTCTTTGGTCCACATGCTCGTTCGCACTGCTCGTCTAAGGTCTGATAAAGATGAAAGTTTGAACACGACCAACATTAACATTACATAACAACGGCAATTTTATCATAGAAACAGATTTGTGTGAAAATAATCAAAATGTGTCATCTTTCTACTGAGCGAAAACGATTATTCCAAAATTGTTCTTAAATTTGTTTTTTGCTAAGTATGCCACCTCTCTTCTTCTCTTTTAAGCTATTTCTTAAATTTTTCTAGTTGGTAGATGGAGTTATTTTATTTGTTATTGCTTATAAAATACATTCGTGCTTTGCAACAAAAACAATGCAATTGTCCCTGTTTGTTTTCTTTGAAAATATCATTGCCCACAGCACCCAGGTGATTCCTGTAAAAAGCCCAAATCCCAGAGATCAGTTCGCAGTTAAATAGCTTTGATACAAATGACCCCCACAGACTTTTACACATGGATACGTCCCACTTTGGGCATTTTAGTAAAATCACTGCCATAGTAATGGAGTCGATTCATGAATACCTATTGTTTGCCCTCTTGAGAAAATACTTCCACCTGTGTATCACAGAAAGTGGTGTCCGTGAATAAATTTCATGGACATATATCCAGTATCCATTTGGATGGGTTTTACAATTTGGTAATGATGACCTCTATCTGCCCATGCGCAGTTTGTATCTACGAACTGGCTTGTTACTGCAATGTTTTCATTTACACCAGTTTTTATCAAAGGCAATTCACAATTTACCTTAAACTTTCTTGTTGAATTTCGTCCGTATTTATATTTTTACATCCAGTATTTATGAAAGCCAATTCATAATTTACCTTTGACTTTCTTGTTGAATTTCTTCTGTTTTTGTTTCTGTTTGTTGACCTCTCTCTGTTCCCTGGCCTCTTCCATTGTTTCAGGGTCACCCCACACCTCTAAGGCTCTCTCCTCCACCTACAAACAAAACCATTCAAATTCTTATACATCGAGTTTGGGATCTTTTCAAGATTGCTGCCGATGAAAACACTTGTTTATATGGGCTATATTTATACTATATATATATTATACTTATATGCTAGATGATTTCTGATCCTTTTCTGATCGAGTCCACAAAGTTTCTTTCACAATGCAATCGCATGACCAGAACTCAACTTTATCTTTAAAGGCATTGTTTCCAGTTTTACAAATCGGAAATGCCCGGCCCTACGTGTTATCAGTGTCTGTGATGTGGTGTAATATTGAAGCCCTGAAATAATTGCGCTTCAAAATTATCATGAAGCGCCCCCCAAAATGTTTAATCTTTGATTGACCGGTTTTACCATACTAATTTTCCCCAATAGACTGTAGTGTTATAAAAACTGTTGGGGAAAACGGTTTTTTAAATTTTTAATTCCAATCATAAATATCTTGATAATCCGGTAGGCAATCGGCTTGTAAAAGTCATGGGATTTCTGACTGACCTAAAGGTTTATAATTATGATTGCAGCATGATTTTGTTTAGAATCTGAGGCAAGATACCCAATCCCTTTAAAATATATTGATTAGGCACTCACATGAAGTCTAAGAAAGAGCTTCATTTCTCCCCATCTGACATTGTGTGGATTCTTCCTGGTGATAAACTTGAGAGGGGGCTCTCTCTTCTCAAAATCTTCATCCTTCAGGAGAAACTCGTTCCTTGCATCCGTCTTGGTAATCAAGACATGCTTCTCGTCATTATCTCTGTAAAATGCATGAGAAGGTGAATTTTTTACAAGATTAAGATTAAACTTCTTTGCACAACGATACATGTACAGTCAAACCTGTCTATAGCGACCGTCCAAGGGAAACACAAAAAGGGGCCTTTGAAGACAGGTAGTCTTTGTAGACAGGTTGCTTTAGTACATGATTCAATGAGAAACCATTTTCAAGGGAAACGAAACATGTGGCCTTTGTAGGCAAGTGGTCTTTGTAGACAGGTGGTCACTAAAGCAAGTTTGACTGTACTTCAATCAAAATATGTACAATCCTTAGTAGCTATTGATGGGAATAATGACTATTCACGTATTGTCTGTTTGGATCCAGAAGGGCATTAAATCAAATACATAGTGTAAATATCCCTCTGGCACTGAGTAGATATGATTTAATTCAAATTCAAATTCAATTTATTTCCACTCTAAAAACATTAACAAATCAGTAATATATACATATGAATAATAGTGGTGGGGTCATAAAAAGCACTAAATTGGCTTATTGAAAATGACCCCTTGGTATTTACCTAAATAGTACCAAAACACTAACTAAAATAGAAAGGAACAATAATTTTATCTTTCAAAATGCTTCAGTAGGCTATGCATTTTACAAATATCTTGCAATTAAAAAAAAAAACACTTCAGAGTATTTTTGTTTCTCTTCCTTACCTGCACTCATCGCAAACTGACAGCTCAAAATGTTTGGAAAGGTAAGAATCTTGGAAGCCCCGCCCACATTCCTGGCAGCGCAGTGGGTCACCGCCGAGGATTGGTCCTGTGGAAAATCAAAGGAGCCAAGTGGATAACCTATAGGCCATTTTGAAAATGTAATTAAATTAAATTAAATGCACAAATCTTTGTTAAGTGCCTCGTTACAAATTATTTCATTCACCCGAAATAAAAGGTTCAACAAATATAACTTCATTTAAAGCGAAGTTAAACTAGATGGAATTCGACTGCGCGCAGTCGAAAATGATGCCTCCGTCATAGAGCAATTTTACAAACCAAAACAGAAGAAATTTTTCGGATTCAAGTTCAATTGTAATCCATTGACAGGTTCTCAGAATATCGTGATTACAAGCAATTTCTCATATACATATATGACCCTTTGATCTTTGACCTCATGACCCTAAAATCTACTCAGTTCATTGGCTCTGCAAGATGTCCTGAGTTAAATAGTAATCCATCTGTCAGTTCTAATGAGAATGCGTTCACAAGCTATTTTTGCATACATAATGAGCCCATGATCTTTGACCTTTGACCTTATGAACCAAGAATCTACTCAGTTCATTGGCTCTGCAAGTGACATACATGACCTAATTTTGGCAGGAATCCATCAATCGGTTCTTGAGATAACGCGATCACAAGCTGTTATTGCATACATAATGTGTGCTGTGGCCTTTGACCTTTGACCTCATGACCACTAAATCTAATCAGTTCATCGGCTCTGCAAGTAACATACATGACCTAAGTTTGGCAGCAATCCATCAATCGGTTCTTGAGATAACGCGATCACAAGCTGTTTATGCATACATAATGAGCCCTGTGACCTTTGACCTTTAACCTCATGACCCCAAAATCTAATCAGTTCATTGGCTCTGCAAGATACATACATGACCAAAGTTTGGCAGGAATCCATCAATCGGTTCTTCAGATAACGCGATCACGAGCTGTTTTTGCATACCTAATGCATACCTGCCAACCTGAGACAAGAGAAATTAGGAGTAAATTTTTCTGGATGGACTACGAGGTCGCGAACCACCGAAGGATTGGGGTAGTAGCCCGTAGATGTGGGGGGGGGGGGGGGGGGGGGGTACACAGGACTTTAGGGCCTATTTTTTTTTCTCTCCATTTTAATGGTGCAAATGGGCCTTTTCCTTCAACCTTTTCGCCCCACACATAAACAATTTTTGAAATGTGAACACTCACAAAACTACATGTTTCACTACCCACCTCAGTTAGGAGCCCTATTTTGCAAAGGTATATAGTAGCAGTAATCCAAAATAAATCCGAGGAAGTCCGGTAAATAACAAGCTTCCACAATTGCAGTCATCGCACAAGCATTGAAGAAAACACGCCAATGTATACAGTGTTTATGCACGGCGTATCAACTGCACATGTAATATAAATACACGTGGGCTGTACGCAGGTATGAATAAACATCCCCAAATTGCTGATGTGAGATGCTTGTAGGATACTTTACAGGACAGAATGGACATTTTGCCATTGAAAATGGCGGACGCACACACAAAATATTAATTTTAAAAAAATTATTAAAAAAAAAATTAAAAAAAATAAAAATTTTAAAAAATCGGGAGTTTTGAGGCATGCACTCGGAATTCGGAGTTGGTATGAAAAATGCGGAGAAACTCCGCCTAAATCGGGGTGGTTGGCAGGTATGCTAATGAGCCCTGTGACCTTTGACCTTTGACCTCGTGACCCCAAAATCTAATCAGTTCATCGGCTCTGCAAGATACATACATGACCAAAGTTTGACAGGAATCCATCGATCGGTTCTTCAGATAACGCGATCACAAGAACGGGACGTACGTACGAACAACCCGAAAAACATAATGCCTCCGGCTACTTCGTAACGGAGGCATAAAAAGGGTATATATTAGGCTTGAGTCGGTACGGTCGATCACACCGGGACCCGACCGTTGCCGTCGGGTCCCGGTTTCGTTTTTTGAGAACCGACGCTCCGAAAATAATAACGAAATATGTAAGAAATTGCAGTTTTGCACACCACTAAAATCAATCCACCTTAAAACTTATATATTTAATTGTTACCAATCATATTCTAGCTCATCCTGAATCAATCCGAACTGCTGATATAAATATATGGGTTGCAAGGCAGTTCGCCCCATGGGGTTGTTGTTGCCAGCTGCTAGCTAGCTACTGTACTGGCCGGGTCTCTCGGCAGGATTTATAAATCAGGTTGAAAGAAACATTAATGTTTGAATAATAAAACGGCTTTCTAAAAAGTACTTCTTTACAACATACCGATCGAATAATTTTTAAAAGACAAAATAGATATTTTTTCTTTGATTTTGAACACCGCATGCTTCTTTTAAAAGCTGAAAATTACTTGGTAATCACAAGAAGTTTCGATACGGATAGCTGTTGCAAGGCAAGTTCAGACTAGTCTCGGAAAAATGCGCAGTGTTCCTCGTTGGCTGTAATGCGTGCCAGAACGAACCCAAACAAAGACGTGATCGTAACGAGAAAAAAATCATTAAAAACTACGAGAGCACAATTGGAAAGACAACTACTCAAAATTATCGTAATCAGATACATAAGTTGGAGGAAGAAAACAATAGTTGTCCAAGGAAAGCCACATAAATAGTGATATTTAAGGAGTTACTATAGGTACAATAATTATCGGAAGGGCCTGCTGCAATATCCGAATTACACGTGTTTAAATTGAACACGAGGCTATACGAGGCAAATAACGCCCTCTACGGTAAAAAGCAGTATAACAAAGGATTCGAGTATTTGCAGCAGGCCCCTTGCGATAAAAATGTACCCAGTTACTCCTCGATTATCACAATTTCTGTGGCATTTCTTGGGCGATTATTAAATTCATTGTCCAAGTTATCTATCTGATTATGGTAATTTTGAGTAGTAGTTGTCTTTCCAATTGTGCTCTCGTAGTTTTTAATGATTTTTTTCTCGTTACGATCACGTCTTTGTTTGGGTTCGTTCTGGCACGCATTACAGCTAATTACGAGGAGCACTGCGCATTTTTCCGATACTAGTCTGAACTTGCCTTGCAACAGCTATCCGTATCGAAACTCTTGATTACCAAGTAATTTTCAGCTTTCAAAAAAAAGCATGCGGTGTTTAAAATAAGAGATAAATATTTATTTTGTCTTTAAAATATTATATGATCGGTATAGTACAGAAGAAATTTTTAAAAAGCCGTTTTATTATTCTAACTTTCATATTTTTTGACCAGATTTATTCAACCTGCATGGATCAAAATGGCGGCTCAAATGTTGTCTTTCTATTTCTGCCCCAGTTTTTTTACTTTTAGAGGCACTAAATGGCACTAAACATCGCCAATCATGGATGAAAATAATGTCAAATGGAAGAATATACCGATCTGAGCCGAGGTATGCATGTGTTGATTTATTTAATTGATAAAAAAGGTCACTTTTAAGGGACATACTGATGATATGCGCTTTTTATAGAGGCAAGTGGCAAATCCTGCGAGCTGATTTCGGGACACCGGGTCCCGATCGGTACAAGGCCGTCGGGACCCGGTTTATGAAAATCCCGACATGACTCAGGCCTAGTATATATTGATGATTATTCAAAAAAAAATTCTCCATTAAATTTACAATTACCATTAACCCCCCCCCCCCCCCCCCCCCCCCCCCCCCCTGTATGATTGCTGGTGTAGTGTGTTACTGATCAATCTGCATACTATTGTTTATACCATGTATATGTATTTTTTTTCCCTTTACTGTGAACTACTCCATTTTGTAGTTTCAGTTTTTTCTCTTACTATGTATATTTGCCATTTTTTTAAATATATTATAATATTGTTTTTATGCTTGAGAAGAATTAATAATAGACTGAACTAATTCAAAGCTTAATTCGTTTTTGAAATGGTCATTTAATTGACAGCTTCAACTTTTATAATTAGAAGATGGCGTAACTTACCTGGTTCCTTAGGCATAAGTACCATGTCTAGAGGGTCTCCATCTCCTTCCTCGAGAAGAAACCCTGCCCCTGTGTCTACCACTCGTCCAGTCTTCAGCAACATCTCTGCGTTACCAGTGCTGAATTCAAAGAAATATGTCACATCCTTGCTTAGATAGATGTCTAGAAATTTGTAACACTCAAATACTTTTGCAATATACATTTTGAAGTCTGCTCCTGTCTGGAATATCCTAGATATTCAAGCCTGGCTCTTGAATTTATAATTTATGTTCTACAGTCAAACCTGCCTTAGTGGCCACCTCTCTGTAAAGGCCACTGGCCTCTTTGTGGTCACCCATAATTGCCTCGCTCAAGAAAGGAATGTGTGTTGAAGAACCTGTCTAAAATGGTGGCCACTTTTTGTGTTTGCCTTGGGTAACCCGATAAAGACAGGTTTACCATCATTAATTTCAATAAAATCAATATGCACCATTCATGCTTTCATCAGGGGTGATAGTGAGCACTTTAAAAAAAAAAAAAAAAAAAAGTTTTTTTTTCCCCTCAACCATGAACCCCCCCCCCCCTTGAGTAACAAAAAAAAATAGACTCGGAGAAGAAAAAATGGCATCTAACAACATACCCCCCCCCCCTTTTGAGTAAGAAAATTGGGGAAAAATTGGGAAAAAATTGGGAAGAATAGACAAAATAAGGGAAAATCAGGAAAATCGGGAAGAAAACAAAAATTGGGTAAAATAACAAAAATTAAAAGATCGGGAGAAAAAAAAAGAAAACAAGATTGGGGGAAAATTTTAAAAATTGGGAAACAGATTTAAATCTGGTAATTATCAGGCCTGTTTCATACCTTTTACTTCCTCTTCCCTCGGGATAGGGCCTCGCTGACAATCGAGCTTGCTTCAGTAACAGCGCCCTCTGTCGGTTTCTCTCCACCTTGGCTCTCTGAGCAGCGGATAGTTTGGGTTTGGGTCTGACTACGCCATCCGAGGTGGAAGGCACACCATGTGGTTCCTGTGTCGTCTCTTGGTTTCTCTCCATCTCTTGATATCAGATTTGTGTAGGTCTGAGTGCAATACGACTTTCACCTAAAATACAAAAACGAAAAAGATTTTTAAAAACAAAAATCAACTTTAAACATGTTATCCACATTTTGAGGTTGACTAAATGGGTAAACATAATTGGAGAATCGTGTTGAAAAGAATCAATTTTAAACATCTTATCCACATTTTGAGGTTCACTAACTCAGTAAACATAATGTAACATTGGAGAAAAGAACCGCCACGCTCATGCAAATAAAAGTAGACAGTGAACTGGGGGTATTTGCGGACTGGGAACCCTACACCCGCAGAGCGCCAAAGAATAAAAACGTCCACGAAAATATGGAAGATCCGTATTTTTTAGGACGCGATTTGTCTACAATAACGATATCCTCATTTAAGCGGACGATCTTCATTCTCAGACAGCCCTACTCAGGTCTCGGCTACTGTTTTAGTGTTTAGTCTTTAGAAACATCATTTTTCTTTCTTTGCTTTCTTTGACTTCACTTTCTTTCTTCCTTTCTTCTTTTCTTTCTTTTAACAATTTTCTTAATCTTTTAATCTTTCCCTTTGCATTTATTTGTATTTCTTTTCTTTTATTTATCTTTTTCTTTCTTTTTGACCCTCCACAAAAATAGCAATGTTGGACAGCCATGCCCCACGTGCACGTCCTTGCGACTAGTGTTGTAATAAGAGCTCCAGCAGAAGCTGCAGAGATGGAGCCCCGCGCGCGCGGCGTGGCTTGGGGACGCTCCTCGACTCGATAATGACGATATGCCTTACTCAGCAATTTACTGCATTGAAACCACTCTCACAACCTCTTCTCAATCGCAATACAACATATGACACAAGTCAAAAACATGTATGACTGAAACCGAACGCCTGCATTACGTCTGGTTCATTTCTTACTCTTAAAAATACCAATGTTACCTACAATTTTAATGCAATTTCAATCCTCGGAGGTCAATCAGTCTGTATCATGCACGACAGCTGAAGCTGGCACATCATGCACGCACGCGCACGCGCCGTTCAAATATGATTATGAGATGTCAATGAAACTCATGGCACGTCTGTCAGCCGCAGATGGCGCGCTATAACTTTTTTTCCCAGTTCAGTTTTTGATCGAGGAGGCGCACAGAGAGAGGTGAAAGGTTTTAAAAATAATAATATTTTCTATAACTTCGTAAACTGCTTGGCTCCACTGTCTTCCCCCTTTATCGTTGAATTACCCCTTTATCTTTGAACATCCCCCCTTCAAAAAAGAAAGAGAAATTTATAAATAAAACTTAGATGCCTAAATCATGGAAAGCAGGAAAATGGAGAACAAAATAAAGGAAATCTACGATAATTGAAGTAGAATGGGAGATATATGGATATGTATAATGAAAACAACAATAATAATGGGCCAAAATGTGAGATGAGAAAGATATAAATAGTGTAAACTAATGAAAAATAACCTCTTGCCAAATCAATTTTTATAACACCAATCATCCAAAACTACTGCCAAACTCACTCAAATACTCACTTAAAACCTCTCTCCTAAGTCCCCATCATATAATAATAGCAGAGCCCTAAATTAATACAACTCACTCAATTCATATCAGTCCAGGTCTGCATGTGTTTTATTGTACTGCATGCAGCATCATACTGAACATTTTTAGGCCAAGTGAGATGAAACTACATCATCCACATAAACCAATAGCAAAATAGGATTTAAGATAATGTTCAAAAGGAAAAGAAGAAGAGAACTAATGATAAGTAAGTGGAAATACCTAAGATCCATGAATAAAGAATGAGAAGAGAACAAAGGAACATACCAGGTGAAATGGATGACTTGGTATGTAGAGGATATGAATGGAGGAAGGAATTGGGTCAAGGAATTGAAGTAAATGAATATGTAAGTGAATACCGGTCAGTGGCGGATCCAGGGGGGGGGGGGGCCCGGGGGGCCCGGGGCCCCCCCCCTTGAGAAAAAAATCATGTAAAATCACGTGATTTTTACCTTTTTTGGGGGTTGGGCCCCCCCCTGGCGCTCAAGGGGGGGGGGGGGGTGCAAAGAAATCCTGGATCCGCGCATGATACCGGTAAGCAAATGATGTGAAATGAATGTGTATAGAGTGAAGAGACTAGAGAAATAAATAGTATTTGTAACAAATACAAATATAGAACGAGTCCAATTTTTAACTCTTACAATAGGAAGGGAGAATGGGAGAGAGTGAGGGAAAGAGAATGGTGTAAGAAGGGAGAGGAAAGAAATATAGCAGGGAGAGGAGAGAGAGAGAGATAGAGAGAGAGAGAGAGAGAGAGAGAGAGAGAGAGAGAGAGAGAGAAGGTTTTTATGTTTATTGGAGGAGAAGGAGAAGTAAGCAAAAGAAGAAGAAGAAAAATTATTATTTCTTAAAGCCTTCAAAGCATGAATTTCATTGCATTGTTTGGATAAGATATTTTGTAATCATTTCACTCTTTGGTGAGTTTTGATCTGGAATATCATAATTTCACTCCACAATGGAATTTAAATTTCTTTCCCATTTTCTATATATTCCTAACTTATATTTACCATTAACAAAGCCCCTCCCTTATCAAATCTCCCTTTTCTCACTCCCCATATCTTTCTCACACACACTCTCTCTCTCTCTCTATTTCTCTTTTGACCCCGCTCTGTCTCCTCACAATCCGATTTGTTTGTCTCTCTTTTCAATTTTTTAAATATTTTTCAAACAAAGTAGAGATATGTCAGAACTTGAAAGAATAATACTAAACTATCTGTTCAGGTACTAATCTATCTAATAACATTAATAATAATTTTGTTGTTGTTTAAAATGGGAAATGGGTATAATTATTGATTCACTAATAATTTGGTCAAGTCTCTTCCTTCCATTTCTCTATGTGGACTTAGACTAACAAAATTGTCATCTTTACAAAATATTTTTTAAAATCCTCAAAAATGACTTATGGACTTCTACAGAGTAGACCCTACTTATATCAAGCCCTTGACTTTGAATAAAAACCTAAATAATGTTAATTTTTCCATTTAATTTCAACACTTTTTAATACCCTTTTAGAGAAGTAAACTCTTCTAGTAAAGGTGAAAAATAGCTTGTGAGGTTTCTTCAACTTTCTTGTTCTCTATAATTATGTCAGTTTGGAAGAACATAAAAACAAAAATGTCCCCTGAAAAGATATAGCTCTCTGAATGCCCTCCTATTAAATATATATGTCTAGAGACATTCTGCAAGTTTGGACTGAAGTTCATTGCACATATAATTATGTGTAGTCCTTTCTACCGATTTCTGTGTGCGGTACATCCCATTTACATCCAAATTAATTATCATTCTGATGATTCCAGAACCTCACGGTATACACCAACTCTCTCCGTATGTTCCACACAGTTTCTTTCAAAATGCAATCCAATGACCACGGCCCTGTTTCATAAAACTTGTTATCAATAAACAAGTGCTAAAATTCTATGACAACCTAGCTCTCGGCCAATCAAATGCCACTATTTCAGTAGCTTATAACAGTTATTGTTACTTGCCATTGAAAAAAGATTTCATGAAACAGGACCCTGACCTCGCAAAGACAATCGACACCATACCTCAAACCTTTTCAAGAAATTACAAAAATAACAAAACCAAATTTTGTTTTTTTACGCTTCATATTCCATGTTTAATTTTTCCTCAAAAAAATCGTCTAAAAGAACAAGACAACAGTAAATGGATATACCATCGATACTATACAAGAATGTACAAAGATCATATTACAATATTGACAATGGAGATACCCCCCAACGACTCACTATAGTCGGAGGATATTGTTTTTCGTCTTCATTTTTTAAACTTTCCAAATGGAAGATGACACATTTGAAGTAAATAAACACACTGGTTTCTTTTATATCTAGAACATTACTGACATGATGATTTTAGAAACAAATCAAACTAAAAAACAACAAAATCGGAAAGTCAGTTAACAAAAAAATGACATAGTATAAATGTCTCAAATAGATTCTCTCTTTGAAATAAGAAAGAATACAAAAAGAAACTAACAAAATACAACTCTTTGTCTTAAACGTATATCTGATTTGTATAACTGTTCCATCAAGTGATCAAGATCCTGATTTCTTTAAACTCTCATCAGAGCTCATAATGGGATCATTAACAGAACAAAATGTACTTCAGTCCATAGTCCAACAAGAGAACCAAGTCCTGTTTTCACAGAACGTTCTTGATTGTATTAGGACTACAAAGATATCAAGGTGACAAATTACAAGGAAATTTTCTCTTAAGCACTACCACAGGACACGATTCTCTCTAACACTTGAAATTAATAACAAAAGAGAACATACAAAATGATGAACAGAACTTAATCGACCCCAGCTTAGAGGCTGAATGAATGGTGAAAAATGTTGTAAACTTGGGCTTACATTCTTGGAAAAAGAGGGGTACTTTCACACAAACATAATGCTTCTTTAAATGTTTACAGAATACAGTAATTAAATGTACTTTGCCATGTACACTATTACCAATACACATGAGTTTAGTACTTTTCTTGAACACTCCTTGAATAATTGAAATGGGTAGGCTTTCTTTGGGGTCAGGTATGATGATATCTATGAGTTAAAAAACAAACTAAGCTAACTAGCAGAAGGACTTACATTATTCTGGTCTACAGATCTATGAGTGTTTGTTTCTTATCATTAGGTTTTTACTTACAATAAAATGTGTAGTCATTATTTTGCTCTTATACTTTTAGAACCCAATATTGTATTGAAACCCCTCTACAAAACTGTTTTTATAAGTTTCCAATTTTCCCAAAGTGTTATAAAAGGCAAGATTATCTGAGATAAGTCATAATTGCTTTTCTCATGAATGCAGGTTTGAAGTGAAATGCAACACGACATAAATCATTACTCTGCTATTAAAGTTTGTTTATAAAAGAGAGAGTTTAGCAACATAAAACATCTTCTAGAATATTTGTCTGGGCTAAAAGCATGTTAGACTCTGAAACATAACAGAGACATGAACAACAGCCAGTTGGATGACAATTATCAGAAGTCCTGTGAGATGAACAGGACTTTAACTAACTTGAAAGGGTACAGGCACATTGAATACATGAACCAAAGTAATAAACTCACACACAAAATATATGACAAAAACTCAGCTCCAGGATTTCGATCATAGGTGAAATCATGCTACATTCCTGCAGTCTTTGTGATCAACTACAAATCTGATGAACGTTATGTGCAGGCTGTCTGCAGCATTTTCAAATACAGGGGACATTCTTTTTAGTGGTGTCATTTGGTGTCCAGATGGGAAAAGATTCAATTTGACCAAAAGAAATATGACCTACAACACTTTTTCAATCCAAAGCAAGTGTCTAATCAGGTCCATTACACATATTACCGGTAAAGTTTTACCATCAGTTTCATATCACTTGTTCAGAGCCAGTAGGGCATTATTACTTTGTGCTTAATGTACATGAGTTAACGCCCTTCTGACTCCAAACACATGATGCGTTCATACAAAGCAAGTTTCTCATTACAGAGAAAGACGGAAAGACCAGTTTATCAATATATTAAATATTTATGCACGTTTTCTCCCCCCCTTCCCATAAACCTAACGTTTCTGCTGATAGCAAGAAGAGATACAAACTCTGTTATTAAGATTAGAGTTAATACTCTTCTGTCTCACAGCAAAAAAAATTATCCTCTTTATATGATAGAATCTCAGTGGGTCGAATTCGGCTTGCACAAAGCAGTTGTCTCTATGCCAGGTAAATCATGGACAAGCAATCAGATCACCCAATGTACGAAACCTGAATAAATTTGAATGCATTGATAGCAAATAGGTCTACTAACATTTTTGGTTTGGAAATGGTTAATTTGCATCATACAGATGTTATTTTCATGTTGATCCATTCGGGTCAAAGGTCGAAAAGAAAGACCTCACAACCACTATCTCAGATGTCATCACTTTTCAATGGTTGTCGGACAGTCTCAAAATCACAAGGCCGTTTGTACATGTATTCAGCCCAACACCATTTCAACAATCTTGCCTCTAAGACAGTCATACAATTCTACACCTGCTCCTGATCCCAGCAGACAACCTGTACAGGCTTATATACAAACTGTGTCAATCAACGTCCGTCTCGACTCTAAAGCAAAGTGAACGTAATCAAAAATAAATGTAGAAGATTACACTATGAATGATGTTACCAGGCCCAGTCCAAGGTATTTTGTCCCATACATTACTGTAATTTAGGAATTATAGAATGTGTTATTATGTTATTAGATGTGCTAGAATTATAGATACAGAAAATTAGAAATGCATGTAAATCTACGATTCTAGCCTTTTTTTTACTAGAGCTTGAATCGGACCAAAATATGAAGGAATTGACATTTTTAAAGCCAATTTTTGTTTAGATTCCATTATAAGTTGTAATGTAAGGGACAGTAATCTATGAATTTCTAGTGTTTTCTTTCAAGAACCTTTTCTAGCGAAACTGTAAGATTACGATCTGCAATATTTAGTTTTGTTTATTTTTGTACTGGAGAAGATTATTGGACCCTATTATTGTTGCACAATTTGTTCACATAAGAAACCAGGGTAGTATTTCACAAAACCTATCAGATGCACAAGTTTGCTGACAATCCCTTGAAATGCGTGTTTTAAATTCAACACATGTTTCAATGGGATGTCGGTGATCTTGTACTTCTGACGGTTTCGTGTAACGATTCCCGGATATTTGATGGTACAACGGAATAAGAATAGTATCAACAGAACAAGTGGGTAACACTACATACTTATTTTCAAAAAGAAAGATTAAACAAAAAGGGATAACATCAGGGTATAACAGAGAGGGGGCAAGAGTGAGAGAGAGAGAGTCAGAGAGACAAAGAAGCAAATTAACATGGGTAAAGAGACCATCACTTTACTGAAAAGATGTCTGTCATATTCTGTTTGATCCGTCTCTGTACAAGTCACAACCTTTCACTACATTTGTACAATCTGTATACCTGTGTGCATTCTATACAAGTCATCTCGCTAACATCCTTCTCTTAACATTCAAACAATTACCAGTGAAATTTTCATCTTCACAATTCTCTAATAAACACTAACAGACCAAATTGCCATGAGGATTGAAGTACGTTCAAATGCCAATATCAGTTTCTGAAGTTCGTTACAACGGCCTGTCTCATGCAGAGATGATCTGCCCTTCAAGGATGTTCCTTTCAAGTCCTTCAGTGATGCTGCTTTCATGGATGTTCCTTTCGTGGATGTTCCTTTCAAGGATGTTACTTTCAAGTCCTTCAGTAATGCTGCTTTCATGGATGTTCCTTTCAAGGATGTTCCTTTCAAGTCCTTTAGTGATGTTCCTTTCATGGATGTTCCTTTCATGGATGTTCCTTTGAAGGATGTTCCTTTGAAGGATGTTCCTTTGAAGGATGTTCCTTTCAAGGATATTCCTTTCAAGTCCTTCAGTGATGCTGCTTTCATGGATGTTCCTTTCGTGGATGTTGCTTTCAAGGATGTTGCTTTCAAGTCCTTCAGTGATTCATTCATGGAATACTGTCTGTACCCTTCGCTTCACACATGCCACTGTTCAAAACCTCTTGCTGAGGATGTGCTCAATCAACGTCTCTCTCATCCTATTCTGAGATGGGCCGCATCATAGCCATAGCAACAATAAAAGGGTCTTCTCAGCTGCTTTATCTTGTTCCGAATCTAAACAGAATGCTGGTGATGTTTGTGTTCGGTGCTTAGTCCCATATGGGTAAATGTTTGTTTTCATTGTTCAGTCCCACATGGCTCAATGTCTGTATCCGTTGATCATTGCCACTTAAAGAAGGCATTCCCCAGGAATGATGATAATTAAAGCCATGATCACGTAAATCCTTGCCCAGCTACAGCCAACTCATGTCTACTACGACTTTTCCCTGTAATGATGAAAACAAACAGGAAAATAATCATGAAAACAATTATTTAGGGCAATCTTACAACAAAGGCAAAGGGTTATTTACAAGATGATTTTGTAGCTTACTTCTGCAGCCTTTTAATACTAAGGTCCTAAAAGAATTTAAGTGAAGTCCAACCCTACATTCTAACGAGCAAGATTTGTCAGGCTCAGATGTTAAGTTTGAGTGGTTTACCTCACACTACTATAACATTTTACTCCTCACCAAGGCATCGTTTCACAAAACCGTCCTAAGTTCAAGTTCACGGACATCCGATTGAAGTGTGTGTTTATTTTAATACATGTGTTTCAATTGTCTATCGGCCAACTTGTACTTTCGACGGTTTTGTGAAATGCTGCCCAATTGTCATTCCTCTCTTCACAGTAAATCTAAATCCTGAGGGGTGTTTCACAAAGACTAAGATCGACTTTAAGTTGTACTTAACTATGGCAGGCTGTTCATGCCACTGGTTGCTCTCACTATTGGTCTCTCAATTATGATCTTTAGATAATATTTTTTCCTCAAATAATCAAGAAATGTAAATTCTGTAGATTTGTGACCAGGATTTAATTGTCCCTTGAGAAACCAATGCCAGGAATGATTAGAGGAACTAGTGGCATGAACGGCCCTGCCATAGTTAAGTCCAACTTAAAGTCGATCTAAGTCTTTGTGAAACACCCCCCGATGGAAATATCAAATCATCATTTGCAGAACTTGGACACTCACCTTCTTGAATATTGATTGACAGCTGCAGCACTGGCCGCTGCCGCAGCTTGCTGACTGGCCATAACTGAAATCAGAATGGAAATATGTTATTATAATTAATTAATTAAACATATGTATCATGGAATATCAATGAGCACCTATCCAAAATCTATTGATGATGAATGGTGTATCCCAAAAAGGAGTTGTGTCAAATTAGCTACAAAACTCTTTAAAAAAAACATCTCACCGACACAATTTGGTAAATTAATATTTCGAAGAGAGCTGAAAAATTTGTAATTCAGTGTATTTTCACAAGAATCTGCTTAACAATGATACAAAGTAGTGCAAGCCTAAGGTATATTGTCCTATGTGTAACCAACTTCATCTTCAATTCTGATATTCCTGATAATCTATCTGAAGTTGATAGCCTGCTAGAGCCCGGATCGGACCAATTATGAAGGGAAAAAATCATGGTTTGAATGTCAACTGTTGTTTAGTTTCCATTATTCATGGTACCATGTGGGACAGCAAATAACCAAATACCTTGGACTTGCCCAGTAGTTACTTTGGGGCATCTACGTCAAATTTAAATAGATCAACATCTTCATCATAATCCAGCCACACAGACAATACCTGCACCAAACAAAGAATACATTTTACAGGATGGCCAATCTTGTTGATTGTTGTTCAGTCAGACGTTTGTTTGGATTCGGTTTGATGGTGCGACTGGTGTATGAAGAAAGAGAAAGAGTTCTCACCATATGGATCGTATGAAGGCAGTACTGGATACGTCACTCCTACCCCGACATGTGTGTGTTGATGCGTATGCATGTGTTGATGAACTGAACCTCTCTTCCCATCTTCCCTGCTCGATGAAATGGAGGACGATGTCGATACCTCCGGTGTTTTCCTGGCTGCAGGGGATGATGACCGTGACCGCTGCACAGGTGTGGTGCGGCCTTTCTCCGGCGTCCTGGGGCGGGAGTTGGAGCCATGCTTCTGCTGATGGGGACTGAAATACTGGTTGGCGTGTTGCTGAAGGACATCCAGTGCACGGGCAGGAAGGTCTGGAGTATCAGGTGACTTCCTACCCTTGGAGGAAAGACTGTGTGGAGAAGAGGATGAGCATCGCTCTGGCTCCTGCTCGAAGCCAGCCTTATCGCTGGGAGACTTCCAAGCAGGAGTGACCCCTGGACCGGCTGCAGGGTAGCGGAGGTCCGGATGAAGGAATGATGGATATACCATAGGTTGGAAGGTTGGATGGGAGGGGTCATACGGGATAGTCCCATAGGGGTAAGGGGGTTGGAGGTAGGGGTACCCATCTATGAGCTTCTTCCCATCAGGTTTGGACCCTTTCCCTGAGGGGGATTTACTGTCTCTTTTGTCAGGGTCTGCACTGAGTCTTCCTGATGTTTCTTTGGTGGGGGTACTCACATTTCTGTGAGTAGGTGTAGGAGTTCTACTCTTCTCTGCCTGCTCAGGGTTACTCAACTCCTTTTTTGACAACTCAACACCTTCCTTTTTTCGGTTCTCCTGTTCCACATTTTTCCTCGGCTCCTCAGCCTGCCGATGCGGCGGCTGTTCCATCAACTTCTGCCGATACAAATGATACTGCCTCATATCTTCCCTTTGCCTCGTTTCCAGCAACATAGCACTGTTTTGTTTGTCACTTTCAGGAGTCCTTAAAGTGCTTGGAGAACTTCCCTCCTTTTTTGAAAACTCTATATGCCTTGACTTTGTTATATGCTCTTTGTCCCTTGATTTATCTCTACTGTCAGGATGCCGTGGGACCTGAGGTGGTGTTATAGGTTCTGTTTGAATATTTATCACTGGTCTCCTCTTTTCTGAACTTCCAGCCTTACTTTCACCGGGTTTCTCTGGACCCTCCTGACCTCTGAGCTTCTCAACTCTCTTCCTTTGGTCCTCGATGAGTCTTTCCTGCTGCTGCCTGTACTGGGGATCACTAGCCATCAAGCGCATGTGGTAGGAAGGGTCAATGTTTACATAGCCGTGAAGATAAGGGTAATGGCTACCTGAGTACACATGGGGAACTGGAGGGGGAAGGGTAGGGTTTATTGAAGCTGACCTTGGAGTACTTTGATCTTTGACATCGCCTTTGCTCCCCTCATCTCTCTCATGAGATGGCTTTCCCTGCGTAATGCTTCCACTCCCTACACCATCTGGAGCTCCGGTTCTATCACTACCATGAAACAATGGCCTACGTTCCCCTCCTAGATTGCTTTCACTTATTCTCTGTAAGGGTTCTGAGTGAGGCTTCAAATGGTCTGGCCTTTCAAAGGAAAAAGTCTCTGAGGGTTTTGTTTGCTTGTTTTGGTCATCCACACCATCTTCCGAAATGTCTGAATAAGCGGGGCTAATATTACCAGTCCTATTCCCGCTAGGAGGGGACAACAGCTGAGTGTTCCTAGGCCCTTCTTTGGCCAGTGACGTATGCACAGAGAGGTTCGAGGAAGCCCTATCTTGGCTGACGGTGTCTGGCTTTGACACAGGGAGCTTCATCCCTGTTGCCAAGGACATAGGAGGTTGGTGAGGATGCGGTTGCTGCAGTTGAGATGGGGTTTGGAGATGACTTGATTGCATTAGATGCTGAGGGTGTTGGGGAGGCGGAGGAAGTTGCTTCGATGGCCTACTACTTGGTACAGTCACACTGCTTGTAGGTATCAACTTTGGGATCTGAGGCATCGCTACATTGCTCACAGGGGCAGTACTGGCAGGTTTTTCCTGTGGCGATGGGAATACTTTTGTCACTCTGTCCATAGGTGCTTCACTTTTGCTGCCATCACGTTTCCACACATCAGGAGCAACTGCCTTGTTCTTGTCGCTGTTGTCAGGTTCAACTATACCAGACGCTGTCAAGGCTTGCTTAAGAATGTTTGTTTCTGGTACAGCAGCAAGTAGCAAAGGATTGTTCTTTATCCTCTGCTCACCTAGGTGTTCTTTTGGAGCTTTAGAACTGTCCACTGGAGAACCTGGCAACTTCTCCTTTTCTCTCTCCTTGTCAACTTTCACCTTTTTCTTTTGTTTGGATTTCTTATCTTTGTCCTTCATTGTTAAAAGGCTACCACTGACATCATTTGATGGTACTGAACTCATAGTAGCTGGTTTAGGCTGTATGTGTTTCAAGGCGGGACTTACAAGTGATGCTTGTGGTTTGGATTGGATAGTATTCACAGCTGGTACACTCAGTGCACACGAGACTGTCACAGGGTTTTGAACAAGGGCAGTTGGGATGGCTATGAGTTGTGGAGGTGGGGCTTGCGTCGCGGGTGGAGCAGGAGCAGGAGCGATAGGACGTATCGTCTTTCCCGTCTTCAACAGCATCTTGTCGTGCTTTGCTTTCTTATGCTTATCTGCTCTAACTTTGTCCTTGTCAGTCTTTTTAGAAGTCTTATCCTCAGACCCATTATCACTATTTGTACTTAAATTTTGCTTTGGTCCTTTGGCATGGTCTGCTGCTGCTGCTGCTTTGGCAAAAGAACTGGGACTAACTGGTTCTGACTTGATAGTCATAGGCTCAGGGTTGGGTCGTATAACGCTTACACTGACATGCTTTTCCGATGTGCTTCCAGGCATTGCATTGGCTGTCACTTGCTCATCAGGAGCTGAATTGAAGTCAAATATTGACATGTCCTTATCCGAGCTCGCTGCAGGAGGTTTCTTAACACCCTTACTCAGTCTGTCTCCACCGGCATCATTCTTTGGCACTTTAGATGGGCTAGATTTGGCCTCTTTGGGTTTAGGGATACCCAAACACTTCATACCAGCGGTAAACTTGTCCACATGACTCTTGTGTGTCTTTGGACTCTTTGTGCCATCTTTACTCTTCGATGATTCACCCTTCTTCTGACCTGTAGCCTCACCACCGCTATCAACGCTCCCCTCTGAAGAGCCACCCTGTTGCAAGCTCGGTGCACTCTCCTCCTCCGGAGTTTCCCTCCCTTTGGCATCACCCTTATCAACATCCATCCTCTCTTCCTCCTCCTCCTCCTCTTCCTCCTTGGAAGATTCTTTCTTGTCTTTCAAGTCTTTCTTTTTATCTTTTGTTTGAAGAGGAGGTAGACCGCCCACATCATCAGAAGCACTTGACTTACTGTCATCGTCATAGTCTGTCCTCTCCCTCCAGTTACCATCCTTGTCCAAGTTATTGTGATGAGCGTGGGAGAGATGGTAATGGAGTCCATTCTTGTGCTTGTACTTTTTATTACAGTTCGGCTGTGGGCATTCAATAAGTACTGGAGTATGCCTATCCTCGTTGGCGGATGAGTTTGGTCGGACACTCGTCTTTTGGCGCTTATTGGTCGGTACGGGTTCCTCGACGTCTGATTCTTTGGTCTTGCGCTTGCTGGTGTTCTTGTCTAGCGTGCAAGGAGGGGTACGTGCGCCGTTGGAAGCGTTACTGCCGCGTCGGCCCTTGGTGGAGTTGCGCAGCTTGCTGTGGATGGAGGACCGGGTCTCGGTGTAGTTGCTGAGGTCGCTACTGGAACTGTTGTTGTTCCTACCCCGCTTGGGACGTCCACTACCCTTGCCCCTGCTCTCCATGTCACTCGTTGGAGAATCACAGAACCTGACAAAAAAGCAGAAAGATTAGAAAAAGTTTTTAATTTTCATGGTATTGAATAATAAATTGATTTCATTATTGATAAACCACAACCCTAATTACCAAAATGCTACATGTTGATATATACATAGAAGTACGCAATTTGCACTTTTTGTATCATCCAAAAATGGAAACTCCTGACATGATCATTATACATGATTCTATCTTCTATCAGTACAACTTGCTATTTGCTGTAATAAGAGATTTTTTCTTTTTGGATGACCTGAGAATAAAAGGCCCATGTCGAAAAGGAAACATTTCAAACACCGCCCATTTGCAATTAAATGTCAAGAGTTATCCTGATACTAAAAGATAAAGAAATTTGACATTAAAACAGGGGAGTGTTTCACAAAGACTGAGGTCAACTATGAGTTGGACTTAACCATGGCAGGCTGTTCATGCCACTGGTTGCTCTCACCATTGGTCTCTCTCAATTATGATCTTTAGATAATATTTTTTCCTTCAATAATGAACAATCAAAAAATGTCATTTCTGTAGATTTGTGAGCATGATTGGTACGTCCCTTGAGAAACCAATGCCAGTAAACGATGAGAGAAAATAGTGGTATGAACGGCCTGCCAAATTGAAGTCGATCTTATTCGATGTGAAACTCTCCCCTGTAAGTACAGTAAAGCCAAACCATCCATTTTCTTCAACTAGGCCTGTTTTCATCAGCTCGAGATTGACAAATAGCACGCTATTTCTGATTTGGGAAATAATCCTAAAGTTACAAATCGCGTCTTCATCAGCTCAAGAAATTATCTCGAGATATTTTAGGCTGGTGAAGACGCACAGGTCAAAATAGTGGGATATTTTGCAAACTAGCCCAAGATATCTTGGGATGATTATCTCGACCAAATATCCAGCTAATTGCAACTTTGGGCTGATGAAGACGCAAATTAACTGGATAGTTTTCAATCGGGATAGTTCAAATAGCTGGATATTTGGCAATCTCCAGCTGATGAAAACAGGCCTAACGGGTACCCGAGGAGTAGTGCTACATACCTTGGTGCAGCCCAGTCGTGTCTTGTACAGTCCATCAGGGTCCCTACATACGTCTTGTTTCTCCATGTCACATTCACTACCAGGACACCTAAAGAAGAAAAAGAAATTAATAAATAAATTTTAAAATTCCAAAAAAATCAAAGCAAACAATTCACACTTAGAATGTCTATCGCATGCAAAAACATAAATTAAGGAAGATTTGTTTCCCCGTCTTTATTAAAGAATTACTTTAATTTGTTATTTTTAATTCATTTTCAATTTTTATACAATTGATATATAGCAATTACAGATTTATTAAGTCTTCCCATTTATTTCTCACTTATAAATACCACTAGAGAAAAAATCAACTGGAGCAGTACTTTTGAGGGTACATTTCTTACTAATTTTTCGGATCAACTGATAAAGATAAAAATAAGATTAAGAATAAAAAGTTATTAAACTTATAAACGTCAAGTTAAAATAAGTGTAATTCCTTCCTCTCATTTTCAAAAAATTATAGGCTGTATTGTTCAGTACATATTGCAGAGCCTAATTATTGACAAGACTTTTGTACAATACTTCATAATTCCAGATCATATTTTGCTTAATTCAACATTAACAGTGGTCACAATTGTCATATAAAAGGGGGCATGATCCAATATAGCCCATAAAATTAATCACACATCAATAACAAGTGAGCTTTATAATCAATGACGCAAACTCGACTTTGTGTCAACACCCTAAACATTTATTACTCATACAGACAATTTGACTAGAGTCCAACTTTAATAAGCATTGAAGCCACAACAACAACATTGAGCTCTCACCTTGGTCTGTCTCATGCCAAACTATGCCCTCTAAGTTGACGGAGGTACCAGGCTCACATGGTCCTATGGATTCAGGCTCTGTGGCTACACCGATGTCCATTGTATCCACCGCTACGGAATGACGCAAGGGCTGTGAGGAGAATGAAACGGACGATTGATTTGTTAATTTACCAGGATCAATAATAATGTGTGGAAAGTGGGTAGGAGGGCAAAATAGAAAGCGATTTTCATAATGTGTTGGATGATGATATACATATTTTAATTAAATTATATGAGCAGTCATACTTTATAGTTGTATTTACATGTTTTATCTATGATATGGTGAAAGGTTCTAAAGTTTATGCTAGTGGAAGAAATATTAGTACATGTAGTATTACACACACTGAGGGAAGATATATACACACTTAACAATGCATATTAAGAAGAAAAACGTCTACAGTATAAAACAACTGTATCATTTGCAGTATAATATCAAAAATATAACAATCATATAAAACTCATTATTCTCCAGAGGATTAAAACATATTGATCTCCAGAAAAAATAGTAGCCCTACAGGTGATCGTGCCTTATAAGATTTCATGGACACTAGTTTTACAAAAATATATGATTATAATAAAGATCAATTTACAAATGTGCCTCTGAACAGCCTGACATCCAGACTATCGATTCCATTATTAGGGCAATGCCACTTCTCAATCTAATTTTAAAATTTAAAAACAGGTCAAAACATTATTGACAAATTGCATACAATTTGAGGCAGCAAACACCACCCCAGCCACTACAAATAGGGCAGGCGCTACATAATTGATTGCTCAATTTGCAGTTTATAATTGATTCACTCCAGTGCCATCAGTACTATGATGAATAGCGGAGATGCGACTAGATGTTGAGAGTCTAGTTCTGATGATCATGAAAACACCCATTCATCACCATATTAATGTCATTTTGGATGCCTGGGTTTAGTTATTTTTTCAAGTGTAAAAATATCTCTCGAACATTGGGCTGGCACTAGTTTCGGCAACATTTGTCTACTTCCACAGCCGAACTCGATTCATATTTCTGCATTTCTTAAAATAAATATTCATTAATTTGCGGATGCTTAAAAATAATGGTTTAATACTTTTATCCAAATGCCACTGCTTTATTAAGTTTATGTAGGCCTATAGTCCCCCCTCCCCCCCCCCCCCAAAAAAAAAAGAAGAAGAAAAGGTTTAGCACATATTTTGTGAGTCTTCCAAAATTGCTAAGATCAATGCCACAGAATGATTTAATTACAAGTCTCAAATTGTTGCAATTACTAAATGTAAAATGACTAACGTTATTAAACAATTAATGACAAATCAGTTTGCAAGAGTACTGAGGTTTTACAGCATAACGGTAACTTGTTTGTTTTTAACTATTCCAAAAAATATTTCCAATTGTTATAATGCTTTTATTTGTTGTCATTCAATAGTTCTAAAGCGTGGAAATCATTTCAAAACGTCAAGACAAACATTAATTTTGTTTCTGTATCTTGTTTTATAGGGTCACATGATTGTGTGGAGTCTGGAGAGTAGACTTGCATGGAAACCCTTCTTCTGTCCTGTGTAAAGGGGCTGTTTATTTACTCAAGGACTGAAAAAAGGTCACAGGAGAAGTCAAGTCAGGAATGTCTGATTATCAGGAGGTGGATATGCTAGGCCTCTTCCACACCACTCAGAGTCTTCGCAAACCACAACAATGGTAAAACCAGATATTGTCATGTGCATGTTAAAGCCCCACTGTACTATAGCTACTTGCGCCCTCTATATAACAAACAGTCCATAATCGGTGACCATTGGTCCCCCATGATCCTCTTTTTCTTATAATTGAGAGCTGATTTGTTGAGATAACCACCTGTCATGTGACCTTGTAGGGTGGTCTAATCCCTCCTGTAAAACTAGTACAGATGGGCTTTAAGATGTTTATGAATTTAGTGAGTGGTTCAGATTTGGGTAGTTTAATGCAACAACATACTGAATTACATGTGATACACGAGACATTTTTCGCAATTCAAGAAGGTTTCATGTCCCATATGTTTGTGGTCATACAATAAACCATAACCTTGTGAATAAAGATCAGTTTACATTTTAATAATATATCGCATTCTTAACGACCTAAGCTGTTTACACATCTTTTTGCCCTAACTCAGAACAAATGTTCTGATTTATACACAATCAAATTTCTTTGCTATGTGAGACTTTCTCCTACAAACCAAGGTAACACACCAAAGAGTTCCTGAGAGTGCTACACGCAAACAATATTAGCTCTCTATAGTTACGAGGGGAAACTAATGACTGTAAATCACTGCATTGTGGTAATTTTAAGCTTATTTCCTATTCCAAAGGGAGACTATTCGTATACAATGGACCCTACTTCTTCAGTCGTGAAATCCAAAGCATTTCAAGAGAACACAAACAAACACGAAGGCCCTCATTTGCAATCATTCATTCTCTCGCCTTTCAATTTGTCTCTCCCTCTTGTGTTCAACCGAAGCCGCTCTATGTAAAATGCCCCTTTGACTGGCTAATCAAATAACAACACAGATCCTAATCAAATAACTCGGAGACAGCAAACAAAAGCTCCCACATCAACACCACGCAAGAAAAAAATAGGAAATAACAGTCTACAAAAGTAGCTCATGTTGGTGGAAGCGATCCACATTTTAGGAAAGCGGCCATTCTAAAAGAGAGCCAACCGAGGTCACCGAAAGAGCATTCATTGCCAATCTGGTGCCATAAACAGCATACAGGTTCTGACATGTGTTATGGAAGGCTTCTTGCCAAACCATGCTGAGCTGGTAACACAAGTGTCATTGTATCGTTGCCCTTTCCTCCCCCCTAACTGTCTGTCTTTCCCACTTGTTATGACAGATGAAATGGCGACAGTCACCACTCTCTTCACTGACTTTCAGTCTGCAGGAGAGTGCTGCAATATTTGATGACAACATGTCATTGTTACTGCGTTCCAGCAGGGTCATATCATATACATACTCATTTAGTCAGAAGCACTACAAGATAAATCCAGGCATAATTGGTGGCGATATCAGTGAACTTAAAAGAGTACCGGTAATTTTATATGTCTGAAGGACAGTTTCAGCCATATTTAGCCTACTAAATGTAGTAAAAGTTTATTTATTATCTCTCTGTCATGATAATATTGTTCCATCTCTATACCAAAGATATTGCTTTTTAATAAAACTAGCCCAAGTGGCGAGATACATTTTGCTTTGGAGAAGGTCTTTTGGTACCCCCTGCTACATTTCATAGCGACATGTTCCGTACCACACTTCATTTCTTGCATTCACAGGAAGTTTGGAACTATGAATATAAGTAACAAAACAAACATGACAAACATATTGTAGAAAACAAACTCCAAAAGGAAGAGCCCATGCCAGCAATAAAAAATTTGCTTCGAAAAGGAAGGGGAAAAAAAGAAGAAAACGGCAGTCACTTTATAATTATCACAGAAATGTAGGCCTACCAAAAAGCAAAATAATGAGATTTCAATCCTTTCTAATTATGACTTCAATCCCAACTGGACAATAACAAAAAACTTTTGATACTTAAATTTTTCATTAGAAATGAAGTATGCCAATAGGCACAGGCCAATTCTATATTCAGAACACACCTACGTCAGGATGTAGGGCTTTGCCTGCTATATATGGCAACTGGTTCATATTGCAGAGGCCTGTTGAATTACTACACCAATCAACTCTGACTGTATTACAGCATAAATCAGATTGGATTACAAACTAAACGAGGTCAGGTGGCAGTAGATTTATACCTCAAGTCAAGGAGTCTTGCCCTACTGCAGAAATAACACAGTATTTCTTTGTTTTGAGAGAGTATGGATATTAAAAAGGTTGTACGTTAGGGGTTTCCACTTATTTGTATTCTAATTCAAACTCGAAAGAGTAACAGTGAAGAGAAATAGAGAAATAGAAAGGCACTTAATATGAGTCATTTTTAAAAGAACAGCCACCCCTGTTATCACATATGTGACGGCGATATCAAGTTCAAGAAAATGATGCCAAGTACAGCAGATCCCTCATTATCTATCGCATCCCACGCCATTCTTTACGTTATGAAGCACTCTCTTATCGCCGTCTTTATCGGAGTAAATGACTAGGGGATTCCGCAGAGAAATATAATCATGAATAATGCGCGCTATCGCTAAGTGTCATCACAATCAAATTTTACAGACATCCTGAAGAGTTTACGCCCAGCTTGGCACGATTTCCTTGCACCGACAAATCTGACAAAAAAATTCCAACCACAAGCATGGAAAGAAATATAAGTCGATATAGTATAACAAGCGATGGAATTTCTTCAAGGAAAAAAATTAAAATAGCATGCAAAAATTGTTTTTAGAATAATGCATAAACACCCCCCCCCCCCAACAAATAAATACATCGTATCTATTTACTCTGCTCACGATTTTGATCAATATTGAAATAAATTGCTATACATATATCTGAGGGGAGGGGGAGGGAGGGGGGGGGGGGGCAATTGCATCTTTTAACGACATGAAAAAGAGCATTGTCAATTATCACTCAAAATTTGATTCATGAAGTAGAGAATTATCAAACAGAAAAGCCTGCCATAATTCATAAGAGGCCTACATTGTAAATACTCAACAAATGTAAAATTGAAATTAAAGAAAACAAAACAAACAAAATGAAATAATGAAGTGGATCTATCCATAACCACATACCTTGGTTACGAATGGATCCCCTTATCATTTATCTTGGAATAAATAAATAAACAATACTTTCATCATGAAAGTGAAAATGAGCATTTAATGTTTTTTTTATTCTCCATCCATTGGGTAATTAATAAAACTGCAGAGTGTCATAATATACAGAAGTTGCGGAAAACATGTCAACATCTTTCTGGGCCGCGTCAATTAATTAGAGAGTACATACCAATCAATCACACATCCCATTTATAATGCCCTTTATATTTCACCTGATATAATGACCCCGAAACGTGAGCACAGTTCACATCAAGCTAGCACAATGCAATAATTATTAGGAGTGGAAGCTAAATTCCTGAGAGCCTGTATAACAAAGTTCAATCAGTGGCATTTATCAGCCCTTTTCTCACTTT